GGGTCAGGAGAGGTCTCTCGCGCCCTGTGGTCAGCTGTGGTCAGCTGCGGGGGTCAAACTCGCACTGGAGCGGCTGCAGCCAGCTTGCAGCGCTGCGTCCTAACCTGTTGCGCCACCAGGAAGGGCCCAGGCTCAGCTTTTACACGGCCACTTGGCAGTCATTGGAGAAAAGCTCGAGGCAAGGGTGTAGGTGCCCTCCTGCTCCGGCATCTGCTCCAGGGCATCCTTAGGGTGGGCCTGGGTGGGTGAGGGCGCCTCCCTTTGGCTGTGCCACCCAGCTGCCTTTCCACTTCCAGATCAGACCCGGGGACCTGTGGCCGCAGCCAGCTGACCATGGAAGGGGCAGGCTCGGGCCGCCAGCCCCTCAGGTGAGGACTCTGCGGGCTCCCACGACCGGCCCGGCATGGAGGCGAAGAGAGCCCCTCCGGCCAGGAGACGCGCTTGCTGAGGGCTGCGGGCTGTCTTCAGGAGAGGCGCCTGCCCTGACGCCGGAGCGGGGTGCTGCAGGGCTCCAGGGATGGGGAGGTGGGCCCTCGACGTGGCCTTCGTGTGGAAGGCGGTGCTCACCCTGGGGCTGGTCCTGCTCTACTACTGCTTCTCCATCGGCATCACCTTCTACAACAAATGGCTGACGAAGGTACTTGGGGACCTGGGGGGGGGGGGCTGCAGCTGTGGCCACCACGCCCCTAATAGCAACTGGAAGCAGGGGCTGCCGTGCGGCACTGGCAGCCCACCCTGGGGTTGGGGGTTCCCCTCACATGTTTGGATGAGGGAAATCGGGACGGGGAGCCACCGAGGGGTGGGCAGGTAGAGAAGTATTTGCACCTGTTAATGGCTGGCACAGCGGCCGGCCCCCTCCTGGGGCAGGGCGGGACGGGCTGGAGCCGCGGGAGCCATGGTAACAGCTGTGCTCTGGGGTGACACCCCAAATCTGGCGAGAGCCGCCCCTCTCAGGAGGCTGTGTGGTTGTCACAGACGGGGCGGGGGGCGCGGAGGAGCGGGGTGCCGTCAGCTGTGGGCTCCCTCTGTGCAGAGCTTCCACTTCCCGCTGTTCATGACGATGCTGCACCTGGCCGTGATCTTCCTGTTCTCTGCCCTGTCCAGGGCTCTGGTGCAGTGCTCCAGCCACAGGGCCCGCGTGGTGCTCAGCTGGACCGACTACCTCAGAAAAGTCGCCCCGACAGGTGTGTGGGGCGGGCCCGGGGTTGGAAGGTCGTGGGCCTGGAGCTAAGAAGCCTTGCCGGCTTGGGGCTCAGCCCTTGCCCACCTCCCTGCCGGCCTCTCCCCACTTCCACTTGTGCCCCTCGTGTGCTCCCCGTCTTCGCACCTCCACCCCCACACACACCCAAAAAAAACCCTGGCTCAGCAGTGGCCTGATAGTGGCCCCGCGAGCCCTCCGCCAGGCCTCCAACCCTTGGCCGAGGTGAGCGGGGAGCCGGAGCTGCGGTGGCCCTCGCGCAGGGAGCCCGCCATGGCTGGGCGGGGGCGCCGAGGCTCCCCGGAGCGAGGGCTGGCCCTCTGAGGCCTGGCGGCCGTCCCAGGAGGCAGTTAGTGCACGCGGCACCTGCACGGGAGCCGAAGCCCCGAGGATGCGGAGGACCTGGAGGCAGTGAGAGGAAGTGGAAGGGGGGAGAGACTGGCGAGGGTCGGCTGGGGCCTGCGGCCCTGCTCAGGGAGATGGGAGCCTCCCTGGAGAGCTTCCCTAGGGATGGCGGGGCCAGACAGGCCCCTCACGGTGGGCGGCTATTTAACACAGGCCCGGGACTGGCTGGGGGCTGGGCCCTGGAGCGGGCCAGGAGTTGGCCCTCAGTTCCTGGGTAGAAAGGAAGGGGCCCAGGGAGGGAGCGGTGCGCAGGGCAGAGGTGGCTGGAGGGCCTTGCCGGCAGGCGCACCCACACTGCGTGTCCTTGTGTCCCCAGCGCTGGCTACGGCCCTTGACGTGGGCTTGTCCAACTGGAGCTTCCTCTACATCACCGTGTCGCTGTGAGTTCCGCCACGTGCCCCTGCTGCAGGCCCAGGGGCTCTGTCCAGCTCCGGCCAGCCCTTGCTCTCAGCAACTCTCGGTGCCCAGAGCTCTCTGGAAGTGGCCGCCTGTCCGTCTGTCCCAAGCCGAGGGGGTGTGCGCGCCCACCTGCCCCCCGGGGCCGGGGCGCCCTCTGACCTGGCAGAGGAAGCGGGGCGCCGCGCTGGGGAAGCGGGGTCTCTTCCTCAGCCGATTGTGTGCTTCAGAGAGCACAGTCCCAGCCTTCTCCGTCATCGGTCCGTCTTTATCCTGATCTCCATCCTTATTCTACCCCGAGGCGTGGCAGGATAACAGGACTCTGTCTGTGTCAGGGTCTGTGGCAGGCTCGAGTCTTTCTCCCTGGCCATAATAGGAGGCCTCTCAGTCAGAGGTTTCTCCTGTCAGCAGCTCGGCCGCCCTCTTTTGCTCTCCGCTGCCCTGAGATGCCCTGGGGCTCGCCCTCCCCCCAGCGCTGGGGTGCTGAGGGCGCCTTTCCTACGGGTCTGGGCCCTGGCCTGCGGGCGAGTAGTGGTCTTGCTTGCAGGTACACAATGACCAAGTCCTCAGCTGTGCTGTTCATCCTCATCTTCTCTCTGATCTTCAAACTGGAGGAGCTGGTGAGGCCCCAGCTTCCCTCTGTCCCCCTGCTCCCACAGATGCTAAGAATAAAAAGGGGGAATCTGAGCAGTGGCTTGCGTCTGAGTAGCCAAGCCCAGCCTGGGGCAGTGACCCCCACGCCTGAGGCAGGACCCAGCTGGGGCACCGTGGGGCGGGCGGGGTCAGACCGAGGGGGAGGGACCCGAGGATGAGAGGTGTCTGACAGGACAGCTCTTTGTTTTGGGGAGAGTGGACGGGGGCACGGGGGGCTTGGCAGGCCCAGGAAAGCTCACAGTTGGCCCTGGGTGGGGGGGGCAGCCAGGCTCACCCCTGGGACGGCGGGAGGGGGAGGGATCCTGCCATAGGGGCAGCCACGACAGCTGTGGATCCCCAAGCCCCAGGGGTGATGAGCTCTTGGCCCCCGAGAGCCCGCCTCCCGTGTAACTGCTCCCCACCCAACAGCGTGCGGCGCTCGTGCTGGTGGTGCTGCTCATCGCGGGCGGCCTCTTCATGTTCACCTACAAGTCCACGCAGTTCAACATCGAGGGCTTCGCCTTGGTGCTGGGGGCCTCGTTCATCGGCGGCATTCGCTGGACCCTCACGCAGATGCTCCTGCAGAAGGCTGAACTCGGTGAGGGGGCGTCTGCCTGTGGGGTGCAGTGGGCGCGGCCGGGCCGGGCTGACGGCCGTGCGTCCCCCCCCGCAGGGCTCCATAACCCCATCGACACCATGTTCCACCTGCAGCCGCTCATGTTCCTGGGACTCTTCCCTCTCTTTGCCATATTTGAAGGTACGTCGGGTTGTGTACCTGGGGCACCCCGCTCCACCAGCTGCCCGTCCCCACCCTGCTGTGGAGGTCGCCGAGCTGAGAGGTGCCACCCCTCCCCTGCCGGGTTTGGGCTCTGGACTCGCCAAGCGAGAGCTAGACCCCAGCAGGATGAGCGGTGCCGAAAACGGGTTGGGGGTCCCTGAAGACAGGCCGTGTCAGGGCGCCCCACTGGTCCTCGAGGCTGCCCGTGCCTTGAAAGCAACTGTCTCGCCTGATCCTCCGCACACCCATGCCCCGCTTTGCCGGTGAAGGAGTTGGCACAGGGGCCGGGCCGAGGGCGTCTGTCTGGGCAGCGTGGGGTGCACAGGGCGGGGCAGGGGAGCGGCCTCTCCACTGCCATCTCCCAGAGAGGGGGAGGGAGGGCGCCGGCCAGCGAGGTGCGGACCTCCCTCCTGCACCCCTCGTCTCCTCAGCATCCCTCTGCCCTGGTCATTACAGAGGCGCCTGTCCCACATCCATTTAAGTTTCAAGCAGTGAAGCGTCTCGAATCTTTCTGAGAAAATCATTCTGCATCTCTGTTGTCCAGGAAACTTCTGTTCCTCAGCCTCATTTTTTTCCTTCTTTTACAAATCTCTCCCCATTCCCTCATTATGCCCCCGTGCCAAACGCCACATGCCCTTCCTGGGTGTTTACACCATTTCCCAGCTCTGCAAAGCCTCATCCGAAAACCCCTGGTAGCCGTCACTTAGCAAAGCTGCATGGATTTAGCTCCTTTAATCTCTTCTGGTAAATTAATCCCCCAAGCGCCTCCATTACTTACATTGCTCTTCCCCGAATTCCCTTCAATTTGCCGACGCCTTTGCAGTACTGCTGAGCCCAGCACCAGACCAGATGCCCAGTCGGGGCGCCTGGCCTGGGGGCGCTGTCACTCTGCATGTACTCTGGTGCTTCCCTCCAGAAAAATCTCAGGCTCGGCCAGCCCCAGTGTCTGTCATTCAGGGCTCATCTGGAACCCTGCTAACCCACCCAGGGCCTTCCCTGAGGGGAGGGCTGCTCCTAGGGGCGGGGGTCAGTGTGGAGGGCCAAGAATGCTCTGGAAATCAGCAGAATTTGGAGGCTGGGTGCCTGGGTGGGTGTCCTGGACAAGGGCCACGGTCTGTGCCGTGTGTCTGCAGCATGAGACCTCGTCACATTAGCCTGAGAAACACTGGTGTAGTCCCCCTGTGGTCATTTGGTCAGTGGGGACACTGTTTCAGTAAGGGGACACACCTCAGCCAAGTCCCAGGGCTGGGTAGTGGCAAGACCTGGGTTAGAGTGGGGGTCCATAAGGGTGGTGTGGCCCACGTGGCATTTAGAGTCAGGCAGTGGTGGTCGTCACCGCATCGGCCACCTGTTATAGCTGCAAAGGCCACGCCCGTCACCCTCTCCCACACTAGGGGGTGGCAGTGCCCCTCGGGCGCAGCTGCCTCTGTCCAGTTCACAGCTTCCTCCCCTCAACTTCGGCCCAGCGGCTCCGTGGCCCTCACTTTAGGTCAGGCTCTCTGGCCACCGCTTTCCCACTGTGCCCACGTGCCGTGTGGGGTTACCCTCCACCCCCGCCCCCGTCCCCTTCTCGGGCCTCCGTCTGCAGGTGCTCAGCAAGAGCCAGCACAGCTGCGGATCCCACCGGCTGATGGGCTGGGAGCGGCCGCCTGGGGCCCCGGACGTGGCCTCCCGCTTCTCCGTGCTTGCTTTCAGGTCTCCATTTATCCACCTCTGAGAAAATCTTCCGTTCCCAGGACCCGGGGCTGCTCTTGCGAGTGCTTGGCAGCCTCTTCCTTGGCGGGATTCTCGCCTTTGGTTTGGGCTTCTCAGAGTTCCTCCTGGTCTCCAGGACCTCCAGCCTCACTCTCTCCATCGCCGGCATTTTTAAGGTACGGGCTCAGAGGTCGCCCCTGGGTTAGAGGGGAGCCCCTGAGGCTCTTTCAGCAGTGACCTCCACCCAGCCCCAGGGTCCTGCAGAGGAGGAAGGGGAGTGCTCAGTGGGGTGCCAGGTGTCCCCCTGTGCTTCTTTCCATCATCACCACAGCCCTGTGAGGTGGGGACAGTCGCCCCCATTTCACAGCGGGGAAACAGACATCAAGCTAGGAGCTGCCGACTGGGGGTTCAAAGCCAAATCTGACCACCAGGACCGGGAGGCGTTTACATGTTTACTCAAGTTCCAGCTCTGGTCATTTGACTGTGGCCTGCCCCCAGGGGTTGAGATGCTGCCGTCCAGACTTCTCCGTAAAGAGTTCAGGGATTGATTGGCAATGTCTGCCAACAGCGCAGCAAGGGTCAGTTGTATTGTGAGTGCTGACTTTGCCTTCCCTGCTGCCTGCGGACCGGGCACCCCTTCCCGCCCCTGCCAGCTGTCACTCCTCCCTGCTCAGGGCCACAATCACAGGCACCAGTACTGAGCAGTGTCACTTACTTAAGAGCTACAGGTCTCCAGCTGCCATCCCTGTGAGGAGGCTAAGCGGAATGAATCCTCTCCCCAGTCCCATTCGCAGCCACTGCCTGAAGGACCCTGAGACCAGTGTGTCCTGACAAGCCCTGTGTGACACTAATCCCGCATGCAGCCACGGGCTCTGCATCCGTAGGTGCCTCCTGGAAGAGCAGCCATGGGCGTGGCAGCGGGCTGGATACCCACGTCCTCAGCCCCGGCTCTGACTTCTGCAGATGTCGGTCTTCCGAGCTCATGCAGACTTCCTCTGCCCTGTCGGCCTGCCCTGCCCTGGTTCCGGGAGTTTTGAGGATCTGACTATCCCGTGGGAGTGCCCGCTTCCCCTGCCCTCCACAGCCCTGGCCAAGGAGCCAGCTCCTTCTGACCACTTCCCCTTCTTGCTTCTCTGCCTGCAGGAAGTCTGCACACTGCTGCTGGCAGCTCATCTGCTGGGTGATCAGATCAGCCTCGTGAACTGGCTGGGCTTTGCCCTCTGCCTCTCGGGCATCTCCCTGCACGTGGCCCTCAAAGCCTTGCACTCCAGAGGTACCGCTACCCCAGCCCCTTCCAGAAGCCTGATTTCTGATGAACTGTCCCCGGCCCGCCCACTGCCCCTTAGCCCAGCCCTGCCTGACTTCCCCAAAGCAGGCTCAGCCTGGTGGCGGTCTGTTCCTCTAATTCAGGGAACAACAGGTTTCGTGTTGTGCCCCTGCCTCTTCCGAGAAGCCATGGGGTCGTCTCTGGAGGGGGGTGGGGCCTGCGCGTTGCATGCCGAGTGCGCAGTGGGCGTGTAAACGGTCTGTCCCCAGGTGACGGAGGCTCGAAGCCCTTGAAGGGGCAGGGCTCTAGCCCTGACCTGGAGCTGCTGATCCGGAGCAGCCAGCAGCAGGAAGAGGACAATGGGGAGGAGGAGGAGCAGCAGTACTTCGTGGCCCAGGGGCAGCAGTGACCGGCCAGGGCACCCGCTGGGCAGCAGGCACCTCTGGCCCTCACACTGGACGGCAGCTTGGGGACCCAGGAGGCTCTTCGCAGCAGCCCGGCGGCCAAGGCTAGGAGTCGCGAGGGCTGGACCTCTGGCCACACAGGGCCTCGCGTGGCAGGGCTGGGTCGGGAGCCCTTCACACCGGGAGCGCCTGGCGGCCTCGGACCGACTGAGCTGGCCTGTGTCCCGGCGGGGGCGGGGGCGGAGGCTGTTTTCAACTGCTGGCCAGATCCTGAAGCCAAGACTGATTTTATAAAGGGATTCCGAGGGAGGGGCTTGGAACTGCAGGGCAGTAGGGGACGGTTGATGGAGAGGCTGGGGCCTCATCACCTGGAAAGCGTCTTTCTGGGAGAACAGAGCTATTTATAGTTTGGAAATAAAGGGTTTCCAGTCCACTGGTCACCTCGCGTTGCCTGGAGGCATGGGGGCAGGGAGGCCGGTGTGGGCCTGGCCTCTCCCTGCTCGGGGCTGCCTACCAGTGACTGGGCCACGCCAGCTCTCCCCAGTCTCAGGTGTTCCGGCTTGAGCCCCCATGGCCCCCCCTGGGCCCCACCGCACCTGCAGGCAGGAAAAGAATTACTACCTGTCCTGGGGATCTCAGTGCTTCCCTAGCCCGTGCTCGAATCCTTCACTCACTGAGTGACCTTCAATGAATTACCCTCTTGCCCGTTTTTTTCCATGTCGGATGAGGGTCATTCAGATGTGTCCTGAAGACAGGTAGTGTTGGCAACAGGTTAAACACTAAGTGTTTATTCTGGAAATGCTTTCAGCAGTCACAGGACCGGGGCTGCTACGTGAGCTAGGCTCCAAGGCCAGGTGTGTGACTGGCAGCGAGGCGGCGTGGACGGGCCTCTGGGGCCTGGGGCTCCTGCCTCCACACCTTGGCGCAGTCACGAGGCAGTCACGCTGCTCCCCTAGACTGCATGCCTCTGCCTCTGACGTGATGATCCGGGTTGGCCTGCCCGTGGGAGCCCTCGCCCTGGTGCAGGAGCTGGCCAGGTCCTTCCAGGCAGGCGTGTTTCCAGGCCTTCACAGCAGGTGGCGCCATTGCACCAGCCTGCAGCCCTCCTGCCAGGCTGGGGCTCCAAGCTGGGGTCCCTTAGAAGCTGGCCTCGGTGCCTGCGGGCCGGGTGGGCTGGGGCTCCTCTGACTCCTAGCCAGATGAGGGTGCCACAACAGCTCACTCGCTGTTAAGTCTGGAAGAATGTTCATACTTTAAAAGAAGGCAGCAAACGTTTCTGGGAAGGGCCAGAGAGTAAATGTTGCCCGTTTGGGGGCCCCAGCAGACAGCTTCTCGGGGTACTGCCACAGCACCAAAGCCATAGCATGTAGGTGCAGACACAGGAGGGACCGGCCGCCTCCCCACAGTGAAACCTTAGTTACAACAGGATTCACCTGGCATCGGCCCAGCCCGCCGTCGAGGCCTATATACCAATGTTTGAAGCCAACTGCCAGCCAGCAGCAAGGGAAACCGAGGCCCGGGGGAGGGGGAGCAGTCGCGAGCTCTGGAGGACTTAGAACCCAGGTGTCCAGCTTCCGGGTCCCCTTCACCACACACAGACTCCCACTCGTGTGGGGGGATGCCGGGGCGCCCCGAGTTGGTGCCTTACTGGGTTGCTGCACCTCTGCCCTCCCTCTCCCGCCTTGGATTCTGCAGGCTCAGAAGCCAGGATTAAAGGGAGCTGGAGCTCCAGCCAGATGATGTGGGAAGTCAGTGAGGGAGGGCCGGGGGGCGCCTGCCTCTGCCAGAGAGGCTGCTTGGGATGCTGGGGCAGCGGCAGAGAGCCTGCCAGGGCCCCGCTGGCGCAGGTGGACGAGAGCTTCCTGTCTGCTCCCCCAGCGCCCCCCTCTCCGCACAAGGAGCCAGTGCCTCTGTCTGGTGCAGTAATTACAGGGTGCAGAGCAGGGGCCGTGCGGCCCCACGTTGGGTTCAATGACAGCCCCCCACTTAGCGGCAATTACTAGCCGAGCCTAGAGGCGGCCCCCCGCCCCCCACCCCGCTCCCCCACCAGCCCTCTCAGTCGCGGGCCTCGCAGGCCAGACCGCGTCCACCTGCGGTTCTGAGCCCAGAAGCACCCAAGCCGGCCGCTGCCACTGCACCGCAGGGCTGCGGAGTCACCATGGCAACTGGGCTCGCGCGCAGGTTGAGGGAAGCCGAGAATGTGACTTGTCTCTCCAAGACTGTGGTGTCTGTCCCCACAGCCTCCAGCTAGGGGCTTCTGCAGAGGGAGGAGGCAGGGGCTGACCCCGGGCTCCGGTCTGTGCCTCTCCCAGGAGCCCACAAGGGAAGGAAGGTTCATGCCCCCAATACTGAGGCTGTCTGCAGTCCGGGTCGTGGAGGGGATGAGAATGAGCTGGGCTTTGCCTGTGGGAGCGACCTGAGATGGCAGCAGGCCTCGGATACCTTCATCTTCATTCTGGTACCTTCTCTGCCATGAGGGTGCGGAGTCACCTCCATCTGATCTGCTGAGTAAAACCTGAACCCCAGAGACTTGGGAGTGGGGTGACAGGGCACCGGAAGAGTCTCTTGGTGGGACTTGCCCTGGCTTTCTGCATCCTGAACTGATGATGGACAGACCTGGGACCCCAGAGAAGAGAGGGTGGGCCCCCCCAGGATCCCTCCCTCCCGCGGCGTCGTGTGGAGCAGCAGCCTTCCGGGGGAGCTGATTGCATGCCAGGCCCCGTGCTTGGCTTGGGTGGCCATTTGGGCCTTGGGTGGCGTACGGTCCTCTTGCCTCCCAGCCCAGGAAGTCGTGGATGAGGGTAACGGGGAGAACGCCATGACCGTCCTCCGAGCTCCCCTCGGCCTCCGAACAGGCTGTTGGACGCCTAATGACCCAGGACAGTAGCGTCAGCACCTACTCCATGGCCGGGACCCTTGAGCTCCTGCAGTGAGGGTGGCAGAGAACACAGCCCCCGGACCCCTCCAGGCCCGGGTCTGCCCCCCAGCCCTGTGATAGGCTGTGTGGGGTGCTGAGCATGTTGTTGGTCCCCCCTCTGCCTCTGCCTCCTTAGCCGCCGAGAAAATTGTATCCTAATGAAGCTGTCGCAATGATGGCAAAACCACACCCGTGAAACAGCACCGCGCCAGGCACATGGTGACCACCACCCAGCGTCAGCCAAGAGGCAGCTTGCCTGGGGCCGGTGGCGGGGCCAGAGGGAGCAGCAGGCACGGGAGTCCTGGCTGAGGCTTCCGCCCCTCTACGTCGCCTGGCACAGAGGAGCCGCTTGATTTCTTCTGTGAAGGAACTTGCACTAGCGGAAACTAAAGTGGGGATAATACATGTCCCACTTACTTGCCCTGTCAGGGTGCTGTACCCCCGCCCCCTGCCCCACCCCCAGGCCAGCACCCATCCTGCTGGCTGCCCAGCTGGCACCTTGACCCTCATCACACCCGCCTGACACCAGCCCGGCTCCTTCCCCCTACCTGGGGTATATGATTAGCTTGTTTCTGTTCCCATGGTTATTCAGTTTTGTCAGCAACTACTACATGTCCCAGATACTGGCCTGGGGCCCTGGTCCTACTGGCAGCTGCCGGTGGGTCTGTCCCTCTCCCCTCTCTGGTGAGAGGGCACCTGCTTGGACAGCAGAGGCAGGGCCCAGAACAGCATCCGGTAAGGGCCCTGTGCCCCGAGAGCTGCTGGCCACAAAGGAGCCTCAAGAGGCCATCGCTGTCCTCCAGGAACTCGGGCCCCGCCCTCACCCAGCGGGTTTCCTGGAAAGTGGGTGCAGAGATGGAGATGGGAGAGCAGGATCTTGAGTGGACAGTGGGGAAAACACATGGGTGGGAGGAAGGAGGCAGGTGTCCTTGGGCAGGGGCTGCGAGCCTGGCCCGCTGGAGGCCTCTGTCAACCCCACAGGGAAATCTGGGGCTGGCCGGCCTTCAGGGTTGCTCCAGGTTGGGGCAAGAGGCTCGGCCCTTTGCCATTGGAAGTGGGCCTCTCCCTGGACGGCGTGACTGGATGAAGTGGATTTCCTCCAGGGGAGACGATGTCCAGAGTGGGCTGACAGAGGAAGGCTGTCATTGCTTTAAAGAAAAACATTTGTCCAAACTTCAATAGGATTAGCACGCTCTAGGTGTTCCATAGTGTGAGTGGAGGGGAGAAGGTGGTAGTGGGTGGGTGGGAGGGCAGGAGGGCAAATGGATGGGTAGTGGATAGGTGCTATAATAGAGATGTATGGGGGACACAGAAAGGCAGCAGCCAATGCCACCGGAGCAAAGACTCCCAGGAGGGGCTGATGCCTGGAACCTGGAAGGCTGAGTGGCCAGTGCCACTCAGACAACAGGCCACCGGGGTCTGAGCAGTAGGCCTTGCCTCACCTCAGCGGCTTGAGGACCACAGGGGTAAGATGAGAGGCCCACAGACAGCCCCCCCCCCACCCAGTCCTGACCACAGCTGTTCCACCAAGCACCTCATACCCCCCATTTACACATACTTGTCTGGGGGGAGGGGAGGGCCCGAAGGCTAATTCCATGCCAATGAAGAGCACACAGCCGCTAACCTCCCAAGCCGGGTGCTCCCACTGGGCCTCTCCGCAGCCTCGGGGGAGGAGGCTGGGCGGTCCCTCCCCTCGGAGACGGCCCCTCAGCTTCGGAGCGGAAGATCCGTCCCCGCGGGGGGCCGAGGCGCCGGCGGGGGCAGCTTCCCGCTGGCCACATTTTGCTCCAGGAGGAATCTCCCACCGAGCCAAAGCCTCCCTGTCCTGTTCCAGGGCTGCCCCATGAATTAAACATGCCCCCGTGGTTAACTCAGTAATGCTTTTATTAATAGTTAATTACTCAACGCGCACTGGGGAAATGAGGCTCACTCAGGCCTCGTAAATTAAGGCAGTGATCTTGTGAAGGAAGCCAATGGGAGTTCATTACCCGGCCCCTCCGCCGCGCACCTCTGGGCTTGCCATTTAGCGGTGCTAAACGAGGTGTGGGGGGGCCGGGGGCACACCAGGGGATGGGGTCCTTCTCAGGGGGGAGGGGAAGATGGAGAGTGAACAGCCACGTTTCCCCAGAGAGGAAGGCCCCTGGGGAGGGGAGCGGGCAGGAGAGGACGTGCCCTAGCAACAGCGGCAGGCAGACTCCGCTTGTCACCAGCCTGCTCTGGCTGCCACTGGGGGCTCAGCCACCCCCCCCCCCGCACCCCACAAGGCCAGGTCAGCTGTCTGCCCAAAGGCACAGTCTCCCCCTCCCTCCCCTGACACAGGGCCCAGGCGTCCCCTCTAGGTTTTGATGTGGCTGAGGCCAATTTCCGGTCCTGGTTGAGTGGCTGAGCTGGCTAAGGGGCTTGTTGGAACCTGGTAGGGCGCTTCTAAATTTAACTTTCTGCCTTGTTTTGTTTCCTAAGAGACGGAAGTCCCCCTATTTCTCTTCTGGGAGACTGTGAGCCCATACCTGCTTGAA